AAGCTCATGTATTAACATATGTATTAGTTACTTTTCCAATGCTATGACCCAATACCGTGTAAGACAACTTATAGAAGGAAGGGTTTATTTGAACCTATGATTCTGGAAGATTAGGGTCCATGATTGTGTAGTGACAGCCTGGTGGCTGGAACACCAAGCTGAGCACTCACAACCTTAACTACAAAAGGAAGGAAGATAATGAACTGGGAGGGAACCGGACCTTAAAGCCTCCAAGTGGTGTGCGCCCTCCAGCAAGGCCACACCTCTTAACCCTACCCAGAACAGCGCAGCCAGCTGAGAACCAATCATTCAAACAATCTGAGCCACCACACGCATTTATCACTCTCTGCACTCTCTGTGTTTATGGAGCGGCTCTCCTGAGACAGCTTCCCATGGCTCCTTCAACAGAGTCTTATTCCAGGAGGAGGTGCTCCATCTCACGTCCACTGGAGGTCCCCTCGCCGGCTGGCTGCAGTCTCCCGCACCAGGCACCAACATGGTGGAAGTGCTGTGAACCCGACTCCACCTCCAGCTGCATCTGCTCCCATCACAGGGGGCAGGGCAAGTTATTCACATCGCTGGAGTCATAACTTCCTCCTCTCTGAAACGGGATATGACCAGCACCTGACCGCCTGTGTGACGGCGGCGGGGATTAAGGAGGTGATTAGATGAGCCCTTTGCACAGGCCCTGGAATGTGGGAAGCACCTGGTAAGTGCTCCTTGCTGTGCCTGTCGCTTCTGTTGTCACCTCCCAAGAAACCACAGGCTGACGTCAAGTAAATTGCTATGGTTATCATTTCCACACTGTTCAGAAAACTGCCAAAAATTTTGGCATTGATTTACAGCACAATGTCCAAGTTGATAAAATGAGGCTTAATCCTTTACTTCTATTTTTAGTTTCTTTTCATTATTTAGACTTTTCAAAGTTCTGACGGTTTACCAGGACCCAGGGGTTTGAGGGATATCAAACATCGACCGCCCGTGTGAATGTGATCAGGGGTTCAGATACCCACAGGGTTCCATCCACTTTTCAAGGAGACCAGAAGCTTCAAGTTTCCCTGGAAATACAAAGATGTAGTCTGTGTTGGTTTGTTTTTTGTAATCTTGACACAAGACCTCAACCGAGAAAATACTTCCGTCAGATAGCCCTGTAGCCAAGACTGTGGGAACATTTTCTTGATTAATGATATGGAAGGGCCCAGGCCACTGTGGGTAGTGCCAACCTGAGCAGGTAGACCTGGATTATATAGGGAATCAATCCAAGAGAGCGAGGACGAGCAATCCAGTAAGCGGTCCTCCTCCGTGGCCTCTGCTTCCGTTCCTTTGTGCCCAGCTCAGTCCCAGAAATGTTTCATCCTCAGAGACAAACAGAGCTGGCAGAGGGAGGGGCTGGGAATCTTTGGGCTAAGTTAGACAGTGATTAAGAGGTAGGAGAGGTGCTGGAGAGGTGGCTTAGCAGTTAAGAGCACTGGCTGTTCTTCCAGAGGACCCAGGTTCAATTTCCAGCTCATACATGGCAGCTCACAACTGTCTGTATTTCTACTCCAAGGAAATCTGATGCTCTCATATAGACAGACCTCCAGGCAAAACACCAATGTACACAAAATAAAAATAAATAAATAATTTTAAAAGAAGAGCTAAGACCATGTGACACACGGCACCACTTGTTTTGAAAGAATGCTTCTGCTGAGCTGTGCTGTGATAAAGTACGATCAGTTTCTAGCAAAGCCTGTTGCAAGATTGCCCAGCAAACATACTGCTTTGCCTACAGAAGGGGTGTGGCTGCTAAGGTTGCCATCATGATCCCCTTTATGAACATCCTGGAGGGATGTCCAAACTGACCTATCTCTTGGATCTACATACTGGACATAGTAGCTACTTCTGGATCAACTGGTTTGTGTGATTTTAAATTTTTTTTATTTATTTCTTCAAAAATTATTAACATTATTTTTGGTTGACACATATACATATGTAATTTGTTTTCAATGTATAAACACCATAAACTTATAAAAATCAAATTATTTATTCTTCTTTGCATTGACTAGGAGAAAACTTAAGGAAACTTAAGGATAAACATACATTTTTATGTCTTTGACTAAAAGCCAATAACTACCACAAGTTGCAAATTCAAATTTTAGAGTTGAAATATAGCCAGTTTGTCTAAACCTTCTTCCAGTGGGGAAAAGAGAGGAAAGGGCCCTTTGCATTTCACCTTTATGTCTCTCTTGGAAAGGCAGAATGTGCATGTTAGCATCTTCAGGCTTCTGAAAGACTGACAGCTCAAAGTCAAAAGGACAACAAATACCCTTAAACTGCTTTTAATTACTGTGTATGTGTGTGTGTGTGTGTGTGTGTGTGTGTGTGTGTGTGTGTGAGTGAGTATAGGGAGGAGTGCATACACCTCAGGGTTTGCACATGGAGCTCCAATGTTCACTTCCTGGAGTCAGTTTTACCTAGCAGTTCATGGCTCCTTAACTCCACTCTCTAGCTTTCGGGGGTCTAGCTCAAGTGAGGCTTGGTGGTAAGTACCTTTACCAGCCCCCCCCCAAATCTTTTGAGCTTTACTTCCCTGCACTTACAAAATTGACATGATTACAGAGTCTTTAAAATCATCTTTAATTACAATTATTTATTTATGTGGAGAGGCACAAGCAGAGTTCCACAGAGTACAAGGGAAGGCAGAGGAGAACTCGTGAGAGTCAGTTCTCTCCTTCCCTCACGAGGACGCCAGGGATCAAATTTGGGTCATCAGACTTGGTAGCAGCTGCTTTTATCTACTGAGCCATCTTGCTGGCCCCAAGAATCTTTAAAAATAATTAACTGGAGGGCGGGCGAGAGAGCGTAATATGAGTATGAATAGGATCCAAGTATATTATATGCATACAGGAAAACATCAAATTGAAATCCATTATTCTGTACAATTGAAATATACTGATAAAAATATTTGAAAGCAAAACAAAAATATCTCATAAATACCTAGTTCCATATTAAATGTATATATATGTATATATATATGTATATATTATTTTTTTGGTTTTTTGACACAGGGTTTCTCTGTAGCTTTGGAGCCTGTCCTGGACCTAGCTCTTGTAGACCAGGCTGGCCTTGAACTCACAGAGATCTGCCTGCCTCTGCCTCCCAAGTGCTGGGATTAAAGGCATGCACCACCATCGCCCAGCTATTAAATGTATTTATAGAAATATTATTTTTCAGTAATTTATTATCTGCTTTAAAAATGATGTTTACCACTGGGCCTGGTGGGGCATGCCTTTAATTCCAGCACTTGAGGGGCAGAGGTAGGAGAATCTGTGTGATTTCTAGGCCAGCCTGATCTACATAGTAAGATCCAGGGCAGCTCAGGCTACATAGAGAGACCATGTCTCAAAAAGCAGGCAATAAAAAAAAAGTTATTTACAGGAAACAGCCCCCAGGAGAATTCACAAAGATACAGGTTTTCTTTGAAAAGCATCAAAGTGGAAAAGAGGTAAGATTTTTCTGAAATCTGGGTCCTCTACAAAATCTCCAGCCTTTCTTTCCAGCATAGGTAACAAGGTTTGAAGGTGCTCTAATAGGCTCAATGTGGTAAAACAGCACTGCTAGGTCTTGCCCTTCCCCCTTCCTCTTCCTTTCCAAACCCTTAGGTTCCATTCCTAAATCTAGCCCCCAAGGTCGATTCCCTTATTGGGCCACTTCCTTAGGCCTGACTAAAACACCAAGGTCCAGCTATCACAAAACCCCACCAAAGTCAGCAATTCAAAGTCATTGTCTACACTGGCTAACACATCCAATCATGACTTACCAACTAGTCCTAGCACAGGCATCGCCCCCCCCCCATTTCCCTTAAAATCCACTTCTACATCTGTTACTGTCTTTGACCTATCCCGAGGTACCCCCACCCCCACCCTGCTTATACCTCCAGGGTAAGAAATCTTTGTGCTGAGAATTTGGTGTTCTGGATGTGTTCTATGTATCTCCGAGGCCCCTTTCAAGGTTGGTGTGACTTCTTGCTTCCTTGTCAGGGATGCGGAGGGACCAGACTTGAGTCAAGGAGATGCTCCATTATGTGCCTGCATCGTTCATTTGAGGCATCTCTGTATATATGTACGATCCCTTCTCTTCCTTTCTCTACACCTACTGGAGCATGGCTGCATTGTCTGGCGTGAGTCTGAGACTTACAGACAGAACAGCACATCCTACCTCTGGAGATGTTTGGCCACTTGAACCAAAGAGCCAGACTCAGAGGAAGCAGCAAAGCTAGCTCATCTTCAAGGAAAAGTGATAGGCGGGTGAGCGGGGACACTGCCTATGTGCCAGGTCCTGGGTGGTATCCAGCTTCTCTATGTCACCATGACTGGTGGTTTTCACTGTCTTTCTCTCTGTGTACACCCCTGTGAGGGATGGGATCACTTCTTTCTGTGGGCTAACTGCGTCCCTCTGACAATATTTCTGAGTCTTTTTCTCCCCTCCCCTCACTTCCCCTCTCCTCTCTCCTCTTCCTCTCCCTTCTCTTCTTCAGTTCAGAATCTTACCACCCAGGCTTGGATAGCCTCGAACTCATGGCGCTCAGATTAACCTTGAACTCAGAGTCCTTTTGCCTCTGCCTCCCGAGTGCTAGGGTCATAGACATGTACCTGTACAACTCATACTTCTGGGTTATCATTGTTATAATAATTATTATCTTTTTAAAAATTGTCCTCTTATATATTACATCCAACAGCAGTTTCCCCTCTCTCCAGTCCTCCCAGTCCCCTCCCCCACCTCCTCTCTCCTCCAGATCTACTCCTCCGCTGTTTCCCTTCAAAAAAGAGCAGGCCTCTAGGGATATCAGCTGAGCATGGCATAACAAGGTACACATCATTATTATCTTGAGACAGAGACTCACCTGTGCCTTTGGCTAGCCTCGAACTCTCTATGTAGACCAGGTTGGCCTCTGACTTTGCCTCCTGAGTACTGGGATTAAAGGTACCCATACAACACATGACTTATCATTATCATTTGTTTATTATTTAACTAATTAAGATGGGGGGAAAGACCGGATAGCTACCACATGTCGCGTGGTATCATGTTCCAGGCATGTGTCCCATCCTTGTCCTGACAGAGCTCATGAGATACAAGAACACACCTGAGCTGAAAAGAGTTTCCACTTCGTGCAACAAGGACTCCAAAGCACCACGTGAGATGTGTGGGAGGCAGGAATGGAGGGGACTGGGAATGTATTTGACTCTTGTTTTCCATGAATAGAATTGCTTTCTTGACTTAGTAGCAACCGGCCTCCTAGCAGAGAAAAGATAAACCAGTAACTCATTTGTAATTAGCCCAGGAGACAATTGACATGTGTCAAGTCAAAGCTAGGCCTCTTCAGGCTCTTCAGCAGATGCCAGACCTGAGTTGTTTCAGGCATGGAAGGCAGTAGTAACATCTGGAAGTCGACCCCCGAAATACATCCTCAAGGTTCCCTGGGGGACAAACATTCTGGGGTGGCCCCCTGTTGTGGAATATTAGTTTAACTAGGTAAGGAAGTATTACGTTTGTTCATGGTGCATTTGCTTCATTATGTAAAGATGTGCTGCACTTGTTTCACCTTGCCTGCCTAACGCTCCTGATTGGTCTAATAAAAAGCTAAATGGCCAATAGCCAAGCAGGAGAGGGTAAGGTAGGGCTAACTGGCTGAGAGAATAAGTAGGAGGAGAAATTTAGGCTCAAGAGGAGAGAGGAAAGAAGAAGGGAGAGAGAGACACACCTGGGACCAGTTAGCCAGGCAGCCATTAGCTGGCGGACACTGAGTGGGACAAACAGAATGAAAGAAAGGTAAAAAGTCCTGAGGCAAAGCGTAGATCAAGAGTAACATATTATTTGAAGTTATAGGAGATAGTGGAACAAACATAAGTTTGGATGTTCATAACTAATAGTAAGTCTCCATGTCATAATTTGGGTTGAGGCCCAAAAGAAAGCCTGCTACATACAGCCTTCAAATTTGGAAATTTCTAGAATTAGGTCTGGCTTCACATTCAATATATCCAGTTTAGCAAACTCATGGCAACCTCTTAGAAAATAAGAGCACGTTTAAATAGCTCTAAAGAAGAAAGCATGATCATTCCTAAAAAAAATGGCTCTTAATTAAAAGAAAATCCTCTTTATAATGATGATTGGCCATTCAGAGATGACTGTACCTTCTGACCACTTTTCTCATGAATAGTCTGTCTTTCTGTCCATTTGTAGGGTGGTTTAGATCTAACCAGGCTATTGATTCATTGCCATTACTTTTGAGTTTAAAAACTATGAAAATGAAAGCCATGCAAAACATCCTTTAAGAAGAAGGGCTGCTCAGAACCAGGCACAGTGGCAATTGCCTAGAATCCCAGGGCTTGGGGGGGGGGGGGTCAGGAGTTCAAGGTCTGCTTAAGTTATATCTACAGTTCAAAGCCAACCTGGGCTACTTGAAACCTTGTCTCAAAAAAACAAAACAAATAAATAAATAAATAAATAAATAAATAAAAGAAGAGGTGGAGAAGAGAGCAAATGGAGGAGAAAGAGGAGCAGAAGGAGGGGGGAAACAATTCCCCTAAAGTCAGGTATAGACATTTCCTGTCCCCGACCGTTCATGACCAGTGTGTTTGCCACTGCCTGTGTTTTCTTTACTTCTTTTGTGCATGGTAAATAACTCCAAACAAAAGTCAGCAAACATCATCTTTACAAATAATGGTAGCTTCATCTTGAGATAAATAGTCATTTTAAGTTAAATAAAAGAAAATTATGGGATTTGAGCATTAACCAATCTTACATTTGTAGTCTTCATTTCCAAAGAATTTCTATTCAAAACATTTCTGAAGGTCAGTTTCTGCTTCCTTTTAATGCATCTGCTTCGTGGTGGGGCCATTTGTTCTTTCCTCTCTTCTCTCTCAGCAATGAGAAAAACTGGGACAAGCACAGGCAAAAATCACAAACTCCCTGTTAGTGAAAAGGAACTCTGAAGATGGGGCGATGCTCAGGGCTAGGGAATCGTAGGATTTGAAGCTTGGAAATGGAATCCCTGCCCCGGTTTCTCCTTCCCCCAGCCCCCAGCCCATTTGTATGGATTGGTGGCCTGGTCCTAAATAGGGCTTTGCTTCCATTCGGAAGGAATAGTCATAGTGTCCGTAACCGCCTGAAGCCGGGGTGGGGTCATTCTCGGACTGCCATTGAGACCTCATAAGAAGTGGGATTGTCCAAAAGAAGATGATTCATCTTTCAAAGCATATCTCTCATCCTTAACAATAGAACTGTGCTTGGGTATGCAGGCATGTCTGTGTGTGTCTCTGTGTGTGTCTGTGTGTGTCATTTACACACACTTTTTTGTGTCTATTTTAAATCACTCACGTATGCTTTTCAGTTTGCCTTTTAGAATTGTAAAATTATTTTTATAAATCCCAAGACTACCTTTATTTGAAGAGTCTGCAGGCCCCCTTGCTAACTAATAGGGATAGAGGCGGCTGCGTCTTAACCTGGAGACTGAGTAGTCGGTTGTGAGCGTCGTCTCCTCCAGAGGAGGCTGCGCGCTCTAAGTGGGAGCCCTTGGTAACCTGTCTCCAGATTGCAGGGTGGGAGTGAGGCTAAGACTTTAAGGGATGGAGTTGACGCGTCCCATCTGCTAGAGCTCAGACAACGCCTCCCTTCTCGCCACCAATCATAAGGACAAAATCTCTGCTGCTAGCGAGACCATCTGGATCTCCCATTGTCTCCCGTGTTCACACCTGGAGAGTCGGAGCAGGTCCTTGATGGATGCTTTTCAAGATTGCCTCGTAAAACCGAGGACAGATGAACAGTATTCGTCAAAGACTGTAAATGATACAACAACAGTCATAGCTTTCATGACCGCTTCGAGAATAATAATCCCAGCCTCTGGGGTTTGGTACGAGCGCTTCTGTTTTCTTACCTGTGACACTGTGGGAGCTCAGATTAAAATATTGGTGAGAGGCGTCTCCAGAATCTCAAGAGAAAGCAGGGTCGTCTCTCCGTACTCAGAGTTACCGTTCACTGGGAGAGCGAAAGGTACCTGGGTTTTGTGGCTGGCAAGCTCCTCTGTTCCGAACAACAATGAGAAGCTCTGCTTTTGAAGGGACCCACACTGTCCTAAGTTATGACACCAGCCATGCCCACTCGCACGACGGGACTTCTTCCTCGTCACTACCCAGCAGCAGTCTGTCTGCTTCAAGTCGTGGCTGTGTTCTGGCTCCTATCCGTTTCATCAAACACGGTGATGTCTGTCTGCCCCTCCCTGCTGTGCTGCTGTAGGGGTTGCAGGACCCCACTGCCCAGCTGTTGTCTCTCCACTTCGGACCTATTTGCTTTGAGGGAGCTGGGAGCTAATTCCTCCAAGGGCCGCACACTTGGAGACCTTTCAACACGAACCACAACAGGGCAGGAACAGGAGCGCTTGCTGCTTTCCTGGCATCAGACAAAAGGCCGGGCCACTTAATATCCCATTTTCCTTCCTTTCTAGTCCAGATGAGGGAGCAGGTGCAATTACCAAGAAGAATGAGGCTGATCCTTGCTAGGACTGGATTGCCTGCTAGGTCTACCCCAGCGAGGTTAGGCCGCTTAGATAATAATGGATTTGAAATGCCCAGGGCAACAGGGAAACAATGAAACCCAAGACTTAGACGGTCAACCCTGAGTCGTGCAGCGTGCTGTCCGTGAGATTAAGGGAACTTTCATCTTCTTAGGAATGTGGTAATGGAACTAGCCTCCCGCCCGGACTGGTAGACTACTTCCTTCTTTCGGGGAGACGTCCCAGTGAGTAGCCCGGTGAGAAACTGGAACTCCGTGTGGGCAAAGAGGCTGGGGGGGAGGTGGGGGAGGGACAGTCATGTTATCCAGTGATCCGACTGGTGGGGGAGTTCACACGTACGCATTCCGCATTGCCGGAAGCTCTCACGTCTCAGCCGCTGGCCCCTCTCCATTCCGTTTCCAGGGCTCACCTCTGCAACCCCAGCTTCCAAAAGGCTGGCGAACTCTACAGTGTGAATTGGTTTTCTGTAGTGAAGTAGGAATATGGCCCCTTGGATCTATACAAACAAGACAATGTAAATGATAAAAGGTCCTATTTCAGATGACTGTGTGTTCCTGCTTCGCTCTACAATGATTCCTTTGAGCTGGTTTTGGTGGGGTTTGTGTGTGTGTGTGTGTGTGTGTGTGTGTGTGTGTGTTTGTGTATGAAACCAAAATAGTCTTGCCAGTTGGCTCGTGGGCAATTTTGCCAGTTCCATTTGTTCATAGTTCACTATTTCTTTTCCATGTTTATATAACAATTTCTTTACTTCCCCTTCTACTACAAAACTATGAATCTGTGAAGTATAAACTGTGAATAAAAGCTTATGAAATTTCAAACTAATTATGCCTTGATGGCCCCTCCCTCCCCACTCCCGATTTCCCCCACTTTTGGAATCTCTACCAACCGGGCAGCCACATTCACTTTCCACATGTTTCTGTTGCCAGAGTTTGCTAGAATGTCTAGGAACCCTTGACAACATAGAAGAGAAACAGGCAAGGAAGGGTGTATGGACAAGCAGTGTTTTTCCCTCCAAGGGACTAAGGAGAAGGAGGAATAAGGGTTTGAACCAGTCCAGCGGAAGATGAGACACAAGCCCGGCTTCTTTCTCGGGAATCAGCTCCTCGAGGGGAGGGGCTCTGTCTCAGCAATCTTCGTAAACAGCTCCGACCAAAACCAATACTCAGTAAGCAGGTGGTGCAGGTGGATGAAGATTGAAGAGCAGGCACTACCTGGCTGGGGTCAGGCATCTTGCAGAGAAACAACTTGCGAATCTTTTAATTTACGGATTCCTCTGCGCGCCTGAGCTTTCTGTTTATCATGGGTTTTTAATCCTCTGCAGCCAGCAAGTGCCACTTTGAAGTGTGACTGCTGCTCCACTGAACTAATATAAAAATGAAAAACCTCCTGGAAGGACCCATACACATGGAGGGAGCTTTGACCCGGGTCCCCAGTCGGTCTGGGGCTTGTAGTAGAAAAGTCACTAAAACTTGAAGCAGTTTCTAGATGTGCTTGCTCTCCTTGGGCAGAACAGGGCTATGAGAATTCCCTAGGCTTGGTTGCTTGGTCTTGGACACATGCAACACGTATGCCTTAGTCACATCTGGTTAGAATCCACAACTGACTGAAAGGCAGAGACGGCGTTCATGCACTTCGTCAAACTTGCAACCCCGAATGGCATTGGAAAGAGACTGGAGCAATCAAGGCCCTGTCCTTGAGGATTTTGGACTTGACGCAGAGAAGTAGAGAAAGGCAAACCGATGGGACATCATGTAGAAGCCAAGGACCTTGGAATGAGACAACAGCGCAGAAACTGCGGAACAGCTGGTGACTTCGGTAGAGTCTGAAAAAGAAGACGTACAAAGCCAGTTGTTAGCAAGAGATGAACAAGAAGAAGCAAAGAGAGAAAGGATAAGTGTACAGGAGATGTTTCTGGAATGGGAAACTGCTGGAGAAATTACCATTCTGTCCCGAACAGGGTTCTAGGTTTCGAGGAGGATTGCTGGGTAGCCCTAAAAAAAATTGTTTCTCCTGCTAGCCTGTGTATGCCTGCCCCTTGGGAAACAACAAGGTCAATACCTTTACAATGCATATATGCTTGACACATCCCCGTTGTCAAGAGAGCAGGTGATGTCAGGAAGCTCCCTTCCTTTGTAGCTTGAATGCACACATGTGGCCAGGGCAGCTTTGCACATGAGTCAATGCTTTGGAGATCGCCACAGCCCGTGTGGGCAGTGCTTTGTGAGGTCACCACCGTCCAAATGCTTGTTTTTTTGCGCTGAAGTTTTTTGATCTCCTTTTTGGTCTTTTGGTCTCTAAAACTATGAACTAAAGAAACCTCCTTTTCCTTATAATGTTACCTTGTCTCAGAGATTTCATTATAATAACAATAAAAGCAGGCTGATACAAAACTCTCTTTCGGGTCTTTCCCCCTTTCTCTGAGTTATTCTTTCTCATTGTTTTCCTTTTGAGGGACTATAAATGTACATGATCTCGGTTTGCCTTCCACTTTATTTGGTCTTTGCCCTCTCGGGAAATGCTCTCTCTTGCAATGATTCTTTGTGCCACTCCGTATCGCCATAGCCCTTTGGGACTCGTTATCTGCAATGCTACCAGCGCTTCAGAGTCATTGAGTTCAAAATGGAAGATTTCTTTGCCTGTAAATTTCTACCCCCTATTTGTCTCTTCCTTATCTGAATGGAACTGTGGTGAGTCAGGCTCAAATTTCAGAAACTGTTATTATGAGGGCCTAGAAATTTTGGATGTGTGCCTCAATTTCTTTTTCTCCTCCTCCTTTTCCTCCTTTTTTTTCTCCTCCTCCTCCTCCTTCTTCACTTCGTCCCTCATATATTATACCTTGACTGCAGTTTCCCCTCCCTCTGTTGGGAATATTGTTTTAAGGTGTGGGACTTTTTGTTTATGTTGCATTTGTTTAACTCTGTGAAGCTGCGATTCTTTACCTGTCTGGAACACCTGGTGGTCTGATAAAGATCTGAACGGCCAATAGCGAGGCAGGAGCAAGGATAGGCGGGGCTGGCAGGCAGAGAGAGAATATATAGAAGGAGAAAGCTGAGAGAAGGAGGAGGGCATCAGGGCCAGCCACCCAGCTATGCGGCAATCCACGGGGTAAGCGTAAGGTTTAAGGAAGCAAGAGAACGGGAAAAACACAGAGGGCAAAGGGTAGACGGGATAACATAGGTTAAGAAAAGTGGACAAGAAACAAGACAAGCGAATGTTAGGAATATTTCTTAGGATGAGCCTCTCCGCAAATGCAAATAATTGCAATCGGACCAAATTAGACTGAATAAAAGATGCCCACGTTTAACGCAATGCTCCTGGAGAGCAAAGTATGGTGAGGGAAAGAAAGAGAAGGGGGGACCATGCGAAACCTGGAGACCACGTGTTTATTCTCTGGGGGGCAGTTTAAGTAACCTGTGGGAGTGGTCTTGACCTTCCCTGGGAAGGGTTTACCCTTTGGTGGGCTTTCTTGACCCTCCCTGGGGAGGGGTCACCATTTGGCAGGCTTTCTTGAAGGTGGAGTTTGGACTAAGGCAACTCCCAGGGGTAGGGGCTTGAAATAGAATTCCTGCCCAGTATTTCAAAGATGGATGCCAGGGGTCTGGGACTATAGGCTATAGGCCCCCGACTATAATATTCCGGACTCTTTGTTTAAGGGGGTGTTAGGGAGCTGGGGTGATGCTGTTGACCAAACAGCTAAGGCTGGACATTTATAAATAAGAACAAGACTCCATGTGACCCATTTAGGAGCTTGGTGGTGGGTCCCCCAAAAGAGTCCAAAGAGCCCGACATCAAATTACTACATCCCTCCTCCGAGTCCCTGTTCCCACCTCCTCTGTGTTGATCGCCACTTCACAAATTATAAAAAGGTCTAGCAGCTTCCAGCACCATATTTATTATTTCCTACAGTTTCTGAAGGTCTGGGTGTGGTATAGCATGGCTGGGCTCTCATGAGGTTGGAGGAAGCAGCTGTCTGAGTTGCGGTCACCTAAAGCTTTGTCAGGACAGTCTAGGATCAGGACCCTTCAGAGACCATCACACCTGCTGCTCAGCGCCTCGGCCAGAAGCCTCCACTTCCTGCCATGTGGCTCTCCCCATGGAATTGCTCACATCAGAGTTTGCTGGAGAAAGGGCAGAGATGGGTGGGGGTGGGGGGTAAGAAGGAACATGTGCCCAAGGTGGAAGTCACAGTCCTTTTGTAAGCGACCCTTGGGAGTCATGCAACATCACTTTTCTCTCTTCTGCTTGTCAGAAACCAATCGGTAAGTCTGGCTCACACTCAAGAGCAGGGTCAGGTACTGTGTGTCTGTTTGTGAGACCAATGCCGTCTTCCTCATCTCTGCTTCTGTGGCACTCAGCGACACCCCCATTTTCCACCGGTATTTGTTTAGTGAAAAATCAAGACCCACTCTGTAAGATGAATTAAAACAGTGGCTCTCAACCTGTGGGTCGCAACCCCTTTGCGACCCTTTCACATGGGGTTGCATATCAGATATCCTGCATATCAGACATTTACATTATGATTCATAACAGTAGCAAAAATTACGCTTAACGGAGTAACAAGGAAAATAATTTTATGATTGGGGGTCACAACAACATGAGGTGCTTTATTAGAGGGCCACAGCATTAGGGAGGTTGAGAACCAATGAAATAAACACTCCCTTCCCCAAGGTGCTTTTGGTCACAGTCTTTATAACAAAGGACCAAATTAAAGCAGTCATTAATGCTCAGCCATCCCTGCTTGTCCCAAAGAGACAAATGGGAATTCCTTAGCCTAGGCTCCCGGGTCTAAGACAATCTGTGAATCGGTACCATGGTGCCGCCACAGGCCCTTTCCTGCCATTTGCCCCTCTGTACATTTGGACTCCATTCATGCCTGTGTGAGTCTGCCAGATTTAGCAAGGGGGAGCGAGGATATGCATATGGGATGCCCAGTTTAACTCGATTCCAGACAACCCATTTTTTAAAGGGTAAGTATGCCCTCAAGATTGCATGGGACGCACATACGCTGAATTTTGACTGACTCTCTGGATTCCATGTTTAGCGGGGCATCCTGTGTTTCAGCCTGCAACTCCATCCTCGTGGCTCTCAGGCCTGGGACTGTCCAGCTGGCCGACTGTGGTCGCAGGACCATGACTTCATCTCTGGCACTTGCTAGGAATTCCGTGCTGCGCTACTGTTCTGCCCCATTCAGGACGCATCCACTGGGAGTGCCCCGTTCGCTGTTTCTGGAATTCTCATTCATTCAGCAGCATCGAGCAGCGGGGCCCCTCCAGGAATAGAAATCAGCATACTTTTCCAAGCAGTACAGTCTGAGGGGAGGTGGGGGCAAAACAAACGCAGCCGCTATTTCAGAAAGCTTAGCAGTACAACGTTCCCGTTTCTGAACCCTAGGCAAACTCTAAGCACACTCCGTGCGGACAGAGGCCATCGAAGCGTAGTAGGTCTCGGCTGTCTATTGGCCTATGGTTGCAGGAAAGGGAACGATTTTTCTCACTCACTCACTCACCAGTTTCAGCTCTAAGGTTTTAAGAATGGCATTTGTATAAACTGAATCTCCACACGCCGATATAATAGACCCAGAAAGAAACTTAAGAGGAAAGGTGTATTTTTTTTTTATTTGTATCCTTTGCCTTTGGGGAAATGATCTGTCCTAGGCTTAAGGTTTTTACCCAGGGCAATATTAGAGCCATCTTGGAGACTAATGGTTTGTTTCCTTGCTTTTAAACTCATTTTAATAGTTTAGTTTTTAATTATTTATTTAACATTTAATACTTTTTAACTATCTATTTAATTTCTAGAACTGGGGATTAAATCCAGGCTTCCGCAGGGCTTACAGAGGCTCACAGAGACTGAAGCAACAATCAGGGAGCCTAGGTCTCTGCATATATGCTATGACTGTATGGTTTGGTGTTGTAGAATTCCTAACAGTGGGAGTGGGGGTTGTCTCTGACTCTTGCCTGCTTTTGGGACCCTTTTCTCCCTACTGGGTTGCCTCGTCCAGCCCTGATATGCAGGCGTATGTACCCAGTCTTATCATAACCTGTTACGCCACGTTTGGTTGATGTCCCTGGGAGATCTGCTCTTTGCTGAAGGGAAACAGAGCTGAGTGTTCTAGCGGAGAAAAAAGCGGGAGGCGGTGCTGGGAGGAGATGAGGGAGGGGGCACTGCAGGTGGGATATAATATATAAGGGAAGAATTTAAAAAATCCATGGTTCTATGTGTGCTAGGAAACGACTCTGTTACAGACGGACTGTATTCCTAGCCCTCTTTTTGCTTTTATATTGAAGCAGGGTCTCACTAAGTTGCCCAGGCTTGCCTTGAATTTACTCCATATCTCAGGGAAGCCTTGAACTTGCAGTTCTCTTGCATTAGCTTCCCTAGCTGGTATTCTAGGCCAGAGCTACCAGACTTGGTCTTAACATTTCCTTATGAGCACTTCCAAACTCGACAGTAAAGTGAACAGCACATCAGACCCACGTTCTGCTGGTTACCTTAGACTGTGGGACCAGACAGACACTGTGGGACCAGACACTGTGGGACCAGGCAGACACTGTGGGAATAGGCAGACACTGGGAAAAGGCAGACACTGTGGGACCAGGCAGACACTGTGGGAACAGGCAGACACTGTGGGACCAGACAGACACTGTGGGACCAGACAGACACTGTGAGACCAAATACTGGCTGAAAGAACTCAAAGGTGAGAGCATTTGTTTCGGCTCATGGTTCAGAGGATGAAGTTCATCGAGATGGTGAAGGCACCGTGGCTGGGGCGTCTCCACCCATAGTGGCAGGAGCATGAGGTGGCAGCTGCCAACATATCACAGACCAGGAAGCAGAAAATACAGGCTGGAAACAGGAGTGGGCACAATCCTCAAAGGCTTGCCTATGCTAGCTCCACGCCCCCCCCCCCTACACAAACAGTGCCACCATCTGGAGTGGGGACCAAATGTTCAAACACATGAGCCTACAGGGACACATTTCACGTTCAAACCATACCATAAACACACACACCTGGCATAACGATTGTTAACATTTTACCCCGCGTGTCTTCTCATAAATTTTACTGAATTAATTGTTATTCCTTGGAAACTACAGCTCCCAGACTTCCCCTGGGTCACCTGCGCGCGCTGGTCGCGCCCAGGTGAAGACCATCACTCCCAGATAACCTTGCGCCCGCAGTTAAAAGCGAGCGCTCCACGAGGTTTCGCTCTCTTGTTCCCTTCCCCCCTTGTGTGTCTTGCACGCCCCGCCCTTATCGTGTTCCCCTCTCCCCATTAAACGCACCCACGTGGGAGCTGCGTGTCTGTCTCTTCCTTTGCGTGCCGTCTATCCCGTGTTTGTCCACACACCCACGCCGCCCCGCCGCCGTTTTTAAGGAATATTATTGGTGCCGTCGACTCGGGGACTTCTCCGTGCCGGATTCTCCACCTGAGGTCCGGGCTCCGGGCCCGGGACCTCACGCCGGACACAGGGTCAGAACCGGGACCACCACCGCCCCACGGCCATCTCCAACTAACCGTGAGTCCCCCCCCCCCGGGCCTTTCCCTCCTTGATACGCCTAGGGACGTCCGGCCGGCTTCCCCTGGCTAATCTGGGTTGGAATTGCCTTCCCATTGCCCCCCTCCCTTCTCTTGGTCTTGTGCTCCTGGTTTGGTTCTGCCGCTGCTGGGAGCTTATTGCTCTCAGTCGCTTTCTCCCCAGGGTTTGGCGCCCTGGTTTTCCTACTGCTCTTTCTTCCTATCTGTGTCTCCCGCGTCGGGTCCACTAACGGAGTGGACACCTTTCCGGCTGTACGGTCAGCCCTAACGGCGTGATTGTCCTCCTGCCGGCCGAGTTTGGTACTCGTCGGTTGCCGGTTTCGAGTCAATCTTCGCCCATAACACGGCCTCCTCTTTCCTCGGACGCCTGGATAGAGGACTTGCTGTGCTCGCCAGCGGCCAGATCTGTCATGGGTTCAAGACAATCTAAGCCTATTCCCCCTGATTCACCTCTGGGTCAACTCCTGGAGTCTCTAAAACCCCACGCCCTCATTCCGTCCATTAAGATGGATAAACTTGTCCGTCTTTGCTCCAAAACGTGGCCCCGTTATAAATTGGAGGGCAATATCCGCTGGCCTCCTCAGGGCTCATTTGATCCTGACATCTTACGTGAATTGGCTAATTTTTGTCACCGCTCAACAAAATGGAAGGAGTTAATGTATATTATGGGATTTTTTTACATGGCTCTAAAGACTAATCCTTCTACAGTTGCTCACTGCTCACCC